ACGTTGCGATTGAATTTTTTCCTAGGGATTCCGATGGAGTTCGAGCTATGCTGGTGAAATAATAAAGTTAGCGGTGACGTCAAAATGTCGTCACGATTCAGTTTGGCGATTGAGTAACTTTGTAGTTGTGAGGCGGCCGGAGTTGCCAAACTCAATGAAGATGGCGACCTTCACGCTCGCGGATGGGGCGAGCCGAAGCAATCTTTCACGAACCATATCGCAACGTTTTTGATGTGTTCGGTTCAAGGTTCGTCAGGGACGTAATCAGGGAATACTACCCGACACTCGCTGGCTCTGACAGTTGCCGCGGAAGCTTTGACGGCGTCGCGAGGGGCCCCATTTGCTAACAGCCGAGCAGCAAGTTCTCTCAGCTTCTGAGTTGCTGAATGCATATTTCGGTGCGGCGAAAACATCACCGTGCATCGGTGCGCTGTGAGTCGCGTTCTGTTGGATGTTAAAGAGACGATAATCGATCACCCGGGGTTCAAGGTGGGTGGACTTTGTAATATTTCAATTTTTTCATTTAAATCTCACTCGCCACACTAACTAGATGGCGCCACGAACTGCCACAGCAACCCCCCCGTAGCCAGGCGGCGCTACTGTTCACCCATTGGGCCCGTGCGCCCAGGTGGATGTTCCCCGGGGCAGTTGGCCCCCGCGTTGTTTCCTTCTGAATAAATCAGTGCGTGTTTGGACCCTGACGGTGATCGACGTCTTCTTTTCCGGGGCGTTCCCGCCTTGGGCTCGCCGGTGGAAGAGACAAAACTTCGCTACTTGCATTTTGCTGAACACCTCAATACCATTTAAAGGGGCCCTGCAATCACCTTTTTACTGGTTTTTAATTTGCACCGAACCTGAGCGTACTGACCGTAGTAACTTAATGAAACTTTTCTTTTCTCGAATTTCGCTTTATTTTAAAAGTTATAGGCAAATTAAACTTACAAAAACAAACAAAAAATAACCTCCCTCATGACGTCCTTGGTTGCTTGAGTGGCCGTGAACTAGAGGAGGGGTAGTGAGCTCAGCGAGCGCTCACGGCTGCCGCAGTCCGTGTCGACGGCGCGAGAGGGCGCCACTAAAGCATGTTCTGGATATGCTAGCGGGCAGCCAGAGCGGCTCTCAATGCATTTGTTGCGCGATTAAACACTAATTCAGCATTGGCCACAAACGACAGCAAACACGGGGTGAAGATCAGTTCAGAATGGGAGCCATTTCGCGCTGCCATACCGCGAAACGGCCAAACCGCAAGACAAAACTTCTCGCCAAAGACCTTCGGAACGCTCAGAGCCGGTCGGATCCTACTGTCCATACGACCACAGCGCCGCCGCGTACATCCGGGACCTTTCCGTGTCGGCGCCTGATCCCACTACTCCTTTCTAGTATGCGCCGCCTTTTCCACCGCTTGGTGGCGGGTATGTCGAGGCGACATTTCTTGTTTCCGTACTTTATAAACTGCATTTGTTTATTTCCTCATCTAAAATACTGAACAAAAACTACTTTTATAAATAAATGAAGCGGTTCGCGCCACTTATATTTTGTATTTAGACTAAAAAGAAGCTTTTAAAAAAGCTCTGACCAGTAGTAAGCCCAGGACCAAAGACGTCACATTTTGCGCGCTTTCGGTACCGCGGGTCGCCCTCGCCGGTGGAAGAGCTTTCCGCGTCGTCCGGTTAAAATATGACGCACTGATATTTAGTTATTCTCTCCGTGCCGGCTGGCTTACCCGAACCCCAAGGGACATGGAAACCGCAAAAAAAGGTAGACGCTTAATTATGATAGCAGGGCCCCTTTAAAGGGATATTTCAACGAAATTTGAAATATACCCGTTGTGTTCAAAAATAAGTTGAATATGATCCACAATATCTGTAAATGACAGTCGCAGGTTTCTATTTTGAGCCTGGTGGCTGTATTTTTTGTTATAAACGGCCCACTCTGGCAAGCGCTCGGAGAACAGCCAGCAGAGAGCACGTGACATCCGACGCAATCGTGACGTAGTTCCTCTCGGGACCAGCAAAGCTGCGGCGAGGCTGACGTTGAGAGGCCTAGTCGTTCCAGCCACCGAGGCGGCTGCCTTTGTACCAATTTTGAGTGACAGTTTAATCTTCTGCAATCTTGTATAGGGGCAATAGCAACTTCTGGGACACACAAAAGAGATTCTCGAACAGAGGGGAGTTCCTCCTTCCCCTCTTCTCTCGTGGTGGCCGGAGGCGAGACAGTTAACGTCACTACCTGTTAAGGTTCCTACACGGGCATTACAAACGAGGTGTTGGAGACATCCACCGGTGCTCTTTGCTTAATTCCTTTTTGTTTAATTCGTTCTAAAATTCCTTATCTTTGAACAAATGGTGTGTCTGATATGATACTGCTCCAAAGTATAAGCGCCGAAATTCCGTTGTAGCATTTTTTTTTTGTGCTTCTCAGTGAGTGAGTTTTCAAGGATTCTTTTTTCACCATCAAACGTTTCGTAATCAGTTGGGAACGTTGTCTACTGCCCACTTTGTACCATTTCTGTCGCCACACTTCAGTGTTGCCAGTAGGGGCTCTCGTTTGAGAAACGCGATGAGTACGAAATTAAAAAATTCAATAACTCCGCGAATATATACATTTTTTTAATTTTCAGATAATATTCGGGGGACTGGTACTGCCGTGTTTATAGGTGTGTTGAGCCAATCTTGAGGCAAATCAGCGACCATAAACAAATAGCTGGAGTACCACTTTAATTGAAACAAGCAAAAGATTCTTTTTTTCCGGAGCGGCATTTATGGACAACTATGACAACCGAATTATATTGTGTAGTTGTGGTTTCTCCTTTTGACGCCACGTGGAGGGTTTTGTGGAGCCAACTTTGTCGGTATACGTTTCCGAGTCAACACTGTTTTTCAATGGCGAACCCGTGTGCTTCAAACTTCGCGCTCCTTGGCGGATGCTGAAATCCAGGACCTGCTAGTGAATTCAGAATCTGATGACAGTGATGACGCTACATGTGCTCAGCATGTCAGGTGCCACTTTGCGTGGTACCGTGTTTCCAGGAATCCCATGCAAATAAAGTTTTTTTTTTTTTAAATTGATAAAATTTAGAAGTTAAAGAATTTTTAAACGTAAAACAACGTAATATGGTAAAAAGAAATGTGCGTATTGAAGCATGCAACCGCGATTTTGCGGACAAAAATTTTTTTTTTTGTGCAGCGAAGACAATTTGGCGCAGAGTGCACGCTGGGACGAAAAAAGATAAATAAATAAACCGTCACTTGAAGAAACATTTTAAATTGTACCTGATTAAACATGTTTGAGTATTCTAAGCCCACGTAAAAAGCAAACCGATCACAAATACATAAAATGATTGCATGTTAGATGTTCTCAACGTACTTAAAGTACTTAAATTTCTCTGTGGCATAATTTCTTTGAATTATGCGCGAAAAGAAGGATAATTTGAATATATCTTTCATGCTAATATGGGGAACTGTGCAGATGTTGGTGCTGTTACTATCACTCTTGATTCTGTCGAAGTGTAGAAAAGACTACAAATTAGGCGGAAGAGGATATATGCTTTATCGAAGACTTTTGTTCTGAACGGTTGAGGTTCCTCAGGATTTGGGCGCGACTTAGAGAAGTTATAAAGACGTATATTTTTTACCTTTTGACATGTTACTTACAAGTCATTTCAACCAGCATCTCAAGTGTTACCCCTAATAATAAGCATTAACAGCGGATTACTAGAAACTGTGAATTCTTACCTGCTGTTTCTGGTTACCTTATCAGCCGCAGTGATGCAAGTTTGGAGCCCCTTGCAAATATCTACTTATTTACAGAGTGCGCGACAGATTCCTCTGTGAATGTCTGCATGGTGTCTGACCGCGTTTAATAATTGGGAAACCTACTCGGAGTAAATTGCGTGTTTTTACTTGAAAATTTTACCACAGAAAGCAAGTAAATATAATAAAAGAGAATTGGCATACGCTTAGGGGCATTGAACGCCCGTGCACCATTGTTCATTTGCTGTTGCCTTGTGCTGCGCGAATTCGGCCTAATTTGAAATTCTGGCATCTGTTACGCGTATTTTTAAGATGCTAAAGTGAAGATGCTGCATCGACGCCAAGGCGGCAAACGCCACGAACGGAACTTTGAGACTGAAGACATAAGCAGGGCATGACGCGCACACACACACCTTGATATGCGTATTCCTCGTTTCTTGCTTCAGTTCAGGGTTCTGTTCATTCTATTTAAACTTCGCTGGCGCGTTTGTGCTCTTCTGAATTTTGCCAGAAACTACGTCGCCCTTTTAAAGCCATTGTCAGGGCCTGAGCCTTGAGTTACGATCTTTTAATAACCGCTGCCTAATAAATGTACACAGATGTCGTCAAGTGTATCTAACTTTTCTTGTTTTGTATGGATGAAGGCACAGACCTATTGTCATCTTGGTTTTGCTGTACAAGCGTGACGCAGCAATAGCGAACAGAAATTGCTACCTCATTTGCTCGCGTCATACAATCGATAGTGGGCGTGTGCGTGATCGAAGCGAATTCATGTTTTATAATGAGGGGGTTAAAGAGAACGATGTGATGACTCATCTAAATGCCATTGATTCTGAAATATGGCATTATGCGTGAGGAGGCTGCTCTGTGGAACTTTTGGGAACGCTACTTTCGAACATGATACGGTACACTTGATGGGCTTACCACTAAAACTTTCAAAGCTTCAGCCCGCCCCCAACCCAAATCTCGAACCACGTGACATGTGAAAGAGCGCAATTGCGCAGTCAGCGCAGTCGCAGGCAGACGTAGACGCAATTCGGTGGCCATCGCAGTGGAGGCACTCATTGTGACCACGGCGCATGAAACCGATTAAGTGTAATTTTCTGTACAAGGATAACCGTAGCAAGGAAGCACTTTATGTCTACTTGCAATCCGGATTGATTAGACGTGTCTAACCAAAGTAAAAAAAAGAAAAAAAGTACAACAAGAAACATGTTCCCAAAGTTTGAGCCCGATATTTACATAGATATGACTTCCATGTCGAGGCGGAAAAACACCAAGGCTTTGCAAAAAGCGACGTTCCGAAGGCCCACCGAAGATTGTCGACAGGTCCTGGACATCGGATGCGGAACGGGCGACTTCACGAGGGACGTGCTGCTTCCCTGGAACCACCCTTGCACGAAGGTTGTTGCCGTCGACGCGTCATCGGCCATGGTAGACTACGCGAAAGCAAACTTCGGGCATCCGGCCATCTGCTACGACGTCCTCGACCTAGGAGCCCCGGACGTGTTTATGTTTGTGGAAAAGTACGGGAGGTTCGACCGAATTTACTCCTTCTTCTGCTTGCATTGGATCAGGGATCAAGAAGCGGCCTTCAGGAACATCAGCGGACTGCTCAACGATGGCGGAGAGGCTCTGCTTGTCTTCTCTGCACAATTTGTGTTGTACGACGTGTGGATGGAGATGGCTGCCATGGAACGCTGGAAAGACATACTTGACGTGAGTTGTTCTGACGTTTCTAAAATCGGCTACCATCCAATTTTATTCTTACTAAGTACGAATTCTGAAGTTCCACGCAAAGTCGTTGTGGCAAGTCAATGTATTTTAATTGACAGCTAATTTATAGCTTTTATTACGAAGCAATTTTATACCCAATGAAGTTGAAGTTTCCCGTTTACTTTAGTCACGCATTTATGAGGCCAGTTATTATATTGCCAGCTCCTAGTAGACAGAGCACTGGACTTAAAATTTATGTGGGTTTTCCAAAAGTGGAAGCGTTTTAAACGTGATATGCGAAAAAGAGCGCGAAAGGAATGCCTTCATTTTTTTTGGCAAATGAATCTAACACGAATTTTGGGTATATCTTTGTACAAATATTTAGTCATTTTTCAATGAAGCCTCCGCTATCATCTGTTTGTTTTGTTTTTAACATCACTGCGTATGATTAACTTTGGCCCCGTCTCAGTGTTGACTTAGACTCCGGATATTGTCACGTATATATAGCTGATTGCGTCCTTGAACGCAACCTGAACCACAACCAGATGAAATGTGGCAATCTCCGAAGCCGGAGAAGACACTGTTACGTCAACGATAAAAATAGAAACATAGCTAGATTTTTCTAAAGAATAAAGCAATAGGCTACAATAAAGCTACTCATAACAACGCTCTACTTTGAGATAAAATAAAAATTGGTGCATCACTCTCGTACCGCCTCCCCTGCATGAACTCTGCGAACGTTTTTGTTTTTATTGCCGGCACTGGAACACTTCCTGTACCACGTATGTCTCAGGTTGATGACACAACGTCATTTTGTAACCTAAAGTTCTTTTTTTTTTAATTTTGGAGTATTTTAAACAGTGCTTTCTAGCTCGACTTCTTGCCATTGAACGTTATGTGACAGCGCTATCCTGGTTCCCGCTATTAGTTTTTGCATTTTCATTGTGATGGCGTGCTGCCGGTATTGAGGAGTATAAAAACTGGAACCAGCCCAAGAAAAAGAACAGTGAGGTACCCTATGGCCAGCATCGTTTCCCCCGTGGTTTCAAATAGTCTGCGGTGTTTCGTCGGGCGTGCGAATGCCCTTTATTATTTTGACACTTAATCAATGGCCAGCTCCTCTGTCCTTAGCTGCGAGGCGGCTCTTGCGAACCTTTAGAGAACCTATTCCAAGGATAGACCCCTTTAAAAAAAACGTTTTCTGCTGGCAGCTGTTGACTCCCTGCACAATGGCGGACTAAAACCGCAGTGTCACGGCACACTTCATGAGTTTGGTTGCATTAAAGACAAAAACACGCCCACAGACAAAAGTGATTGAGCGCGGTGACGTTGCACTTTCCACGCCGGTTGATTGGCTCGTCGGCTCTTCGCGTTGGCTGCGCTCCGAAGTTCGCAAGTTTATGGAACGTCTTGCACTTTCCACGATATCAGTTGTTCTGGCAATGTGCAGTGATACCGAACTTCTATAATAATCGGCACGTACAGTGGCCCAATTTTTTAATAATATCAAGCGAGCGTCGACCGCCGGGACGGCCAGCGCTGTTCCGCGGAAAAATGTGGCGTCACTGGAGGGATTAAGCGCGTGTGCACAAAGCTCTTTCAGTTGCGAGCGTCGTCTGCTAGGCTATTACGTGAACCGCACACATCCCCTGTTCATTATCTGCTGGCATAGATCTGAACAGCGCTTGCTTGCGTGATACTGCTCAGGCGTGGCATAAACGCGCGTCATCTCGAGTTTAATTTACTTTTTTTTCGTTCATTTCATGTTTACTTTTGTGAACACCAACAAACAAAAATGAAAAATACGGTGACGCGACAAACTGAATGCAACGATGCATTAAACTATATACCACAGACAATGCTACGAGGCATCAAAACCAGTCCAGTGCTTTCACCTTGCCACGTGACATCGTGCTTCCCCGTGCAGTTGGTACCCAACGGGAAGGCCACGTGACACACTTTTAGCGATGGACTGGCCAAGATAACTGAAACGCAGTGTAGACAGGGTTTCCGCTTAGTGGTTTTGTATTCTGCGTTGTTGCTTGTCGTCATCTAGCATATATGTAGCCGGGTAGTCACAGTGTTTTCTGACCAGCGGGCGCGCGCACATTTTTATGCCTCCTCGAGGGCCCATAAAAACACGGGAACGTGTTGTGAGAATGTTGATGGGCGGCATGACGCAAAGGGATATAGCAACGACAGTCGCGGTTACACATGCCAACGTCAATAGGATTTTAAACGCATTTCAAGAGGAGGGGTTATCGGCCATGCACTTCGACATGGCAAGCGCCCTGCCTTCCTTTGCTACGGAGTAGGGGCTGTATGCGGACAACGGAATAGCCTAGCAGACGACGCTCCCACCAGAAAGCGCTTTGTGCGCACGCGCTTAATCTCTCCCGCGAAGCCGCATTTTTCCGCGGCACAGCGCTGGCCGTCCCGGCGGTGGACGCTCGCTTGATATTATTAAAAAAATGGGCCACTCTACACCCCCCTGCAATATGAAAGACCCATTAGAGAATGCATTTTAAGGTGTATCTGCCGAATTCGCTTTGACAGATACATTTCAACATTTCTTAGTACTAATAAATAAACTAACCTTCGTTCTTTCTCCTCCCTCAAGCTTATACACCAACTCATGTTTACAAACAAACCGAAGCGCCCGGAGCGCCCCTAGCGGACGCCACCGGCGCCGCGCATGCGCGATGGGGGTGTGGGCAAAAAGCTCGCCGTCGCCCATAAACAAACCATTGAAATGCGATGTTGTCGGCGTCGGTGTGAGTCCCCCTGCCCTTTTTCGCGTTCGAATTGTTGGTTCTACGTCTTCCTGGCGATGTCTGACTATCTTGAGCGGCGTAAGCGAAATTACCGAGGCTCATTACACCGCAAAACTTCGCGTGAATAATGTGACATGCGGCGATTCATTCCGCGTGGACGCCGCAGATTGTACGCTAAAGCCTGATTCGCATGATGAGATTTCGCTCAGAATTTTCAGTCGCGACGAGCTCGGGCGGCAAAAGCGTGAACCGTAGCTGAGATGGTCGACGACGATACTGAAAATCGCAAGCAGAATCGGACCAACTGAATTAGGCATAACAAGTCGGTGTTGGTCACTGGTAACAATGACCAACATCTTCTCGTATTTACTGTTTACATCCAGCCTACTTACCAACCTTCAAATTTAAGTCTTTTGAGGCCTGCACTCACTTCTTATCGCAAGTACCGCGCCAACATTTGGTCTATACGGACCTGCGTCGTCTAAGAGAGCAGACGACAAGCAGAAACGTTTGAAAGAGCAGACGACAATTCGAACAATCAGGCGGCCGTTTGAACTTGAAGACGCACTGAACGTAGTCCACAGGTGGTCCGCACAACTTGACAGTTTTTTCGCGTTCATGTTGGAAGAAAACAAATAAATCTGATGGCCACAAGTATGTGTGAATTCAACCCAAAGTGCTTCCCGCCCAAGCAATCGTTGTCCGACGGCGTCTGCTTTTCCCTTTTCTCGGCACATATCAAGATTTTTGGACGAACCGAGCACGTGAAAACTGACCTTTAAACCTTTCTCGACACTTTTGGTACGGCCCCAGTCGCGGCGTTTTGACGAGAAGTTAGGTTTTAGTCTGGTTCCTTTCAAAACAACGCAGGAATGCACGTCTGGCATGGGGACTTCTGCCCACAGCCCCAGACCGGAAGTGCGACCGACGCGCCACCACCGCGCCGTGACGTCACAGAGATGAGTTGGTGTATATGTGTCTGTGTTGGCTTAACACCAACGCATAAACTGAATAGGCGAGTGGGTCTTTATTATTGCGGGGGATTGTACCGTCTAGCGACCCATGTGTGTAGCAATGTATCCTTACCGCTTCATGCAGGAACTCGATATAGTGCTCGCTCACAAACGGATGAAGAAGTATAACTTGAGGCCATTTTATTACAGAACAAATGACGCATATTTAAAAAGGCATTGACAGAACCCGGATTTACGAGTATACCGCGTGCCGCAATCCGGGTGTAGCCCTTAAAAAGATACTACAGCGAAATTTCGTCGCTTATATTTTGGTCTATACGTGTTCAAAGGAGCAGTATCACATCGGACACACCAATATGTTGTTAAAAAAGACACGAAACGAAATTTTAAAACAAATTATACGGTTAGCAAAGAGCACCTGGTGGATGTCGCTAAAGCCTCGTTTGTTATTCCCGTCTAGGAACCTTGACAGCTAGTGACGAGAACTGTCTTGCTATAGAACTATCTACCAACTCATGTTTACGAACAAACCTGAGCGCCCCTAGCGGACGCCACCGGCGCTGCGCATGCGCGATGGAGTGTGGGCAAGAAGCTTGTTGTCGCCCATAAACAAACCATTGAAATGCGTTGTTGTCGGCGTCGGTGTGAGTCGCCCTGCCCTTTTTCACGTTCGAATTGTTGATTCTACGTCTTCCTGGCAATGTCTGACTACTTGAGCGACCTCGGCGAAATTACCGAGGCTCGTTACACCGCAAACCACCCCCCCCACTTCCCCCATACTAGCAACACTGAAGTGTGACGACAGAAATGGTACAAAGTGGGCAGTAAACTACGTTCTTAAGTGATTACAAGACGTTTGATGGTGGCAAAAGAATGCTTGGAATCTCATTCGCTAAAAAACACAAAAAACAACAAAAAACGCGTGCTCTGTTTTAATCTAGCTGCGCGACCTGAGTCCATTGGTGACTTCACACCACTGAAAAGCGCGCGGAAATTTGAATGTTGGCTTCGGCATCTGCTTAAGATAAGTCTATTTGATTTGAGAAAAAAAAAAAAAAACTCTCATACAATCTTGCCCCCTTAAGCGTAGTTGCGCTTGTATGCGGGACATGGCAGTATAGGCGTTTTTATTATGTAGATACAAATAATGGTTAAATGTAAGTAAAACATAAAAGAAAAATTCATAATAACAGTCAACAACGAAATTCAAGCTTAAGTAAAAACTTTACTTGTTAACTAACACCCGATTCGACAATAACAGTCACTCAATGGTTACAAAAGACACATTGCGAATTTAAACACATAATGGCAAGAATCCGCACGTATATGACGAGAGAAACTCGATCGAAAACACTAAGCTCTGACGGAATACCTCATTGTTGAGCATTTCAGTTCGACAAAAACACCACTGATTTATTTTTTCGTACATGTTCTGCCCCTTAGATGACAGGCTTAGGATGTCTTAAGGCAAGCTATTAAATATTGCAGGAACATAATAGTTTTTCTTTTTTTTTTCGTAGTTTGTATATATTTTTGGAATTGCATAGGTTTCTGTGAGCCGGAGTGTTGTTCTTGTTGGGTACTTTTTTAAATTCCTTTGAAAAATGATGGCTGGTTAGAACGACAAATTTAAAAAAAAAACATTTTCAAATGATAATAGTCCGACTGAATTCTTTTCCTTGGTTTCATTCAGTTCATGTTTTGACCCATATACTATATTGTTAATACATCTATTAATGATACTATAAAATGTTTGTTATTTGTATTTAGGACATGCTTTATATATAGTAATTCCGTCACGTCTTACAGATTCCCCCAATGATACGTACACCTCACGCCTCAGATTGACGTCCCATCCACTTTTAAAGGGGTACTCCGCCGATTTCTTCATGGTCCCCGATTTGCTTGAAATTTTGCTAAACTCGCCAAACAACATCGCCGAAATATTATCCCAAATATTAGGTCAAAATAATTTTTTTTTCACGAAATTATTGAATTTACAAGTTTGGTCCTCACCGTGTCTTTCAAACTGAAAGTCTCTACTGGCAACAATGAAAAAGTGACGTCAGTGGAAGGGCACGGGTTCGCTTTTTGGACTGTAGAATTCGTTCCCAACTGATTCGAAGCAGTTTCATGGTGTCAAATGAATGCTTTGGAAGCTCGCTCCAGTCCCCGCGCTCCAGCACGGAAAAAATGATTGGCATATTCTATTTTTTAGACTGCTCGCCCGACTGGCAAGCTTAACCTTCCACTGACGTCACGGCCCTGAACAGGGCGAGTATATTTGAATGTTTGTTTTTGCATCATTTTCATTTGCCGATTTCGCAATAACTATTATGAATTTCACGATACTAAATAGCATACCAAAAAGGGTAAAGGCCGGGGAGTCAGAAAATATAGTTAGTTGAGTTAGCTCAAAAATCGGCGGAGTACCCCTTTAAGTCTATATAGATGTGCAGAAACAACGCGAAGTTTTCGTATTACATGATGAATGTGATTACTCCATTAAATGTTTCCGTCGAAATGCAAACCAAGGGAGGGTGTTCTTTTAACAGTATCCTTTTTTTTGGCAGTCGCGCTGATCACAATGTTGATCATGAAGGAATATGGGAACATCAAACGGAACTTGTTTATGAGGGTTTCGGATACAGATGAGTTTAGTTTTGTTGCGATTGACAAGAATGCAGTTGTTTGTGAACCAGCTCATTAATTGTACTATATCGTTTTGAAATATAGGAGCAGCGAGATTTTATTGTTCGTGTGGTAATATTAATGCAGTATCATCTGCGTATTGAAATAAATTTGATTAGAGCTTCAGGTGACCTATGTCATTAATATATATGTTAAAGAGCAAAGGACCGAGTGTAGATCCTTGTGGAATACTAAACTTAATTTTAATTTGATCAATTGTTTGACCATTGAGCTTCACCATTTGAAATCTGTTAGTAAAGTAACTTTTGAGAACGGTATAAAATGTCCCCCTAAAAGCTAGGGTGCCTTCATGTGCGCTTCGCTTAGGGTGGAAACATCTGGCCATGTTGTCCCACACTTTCATTTTTATTTTTTGTTCAGAAGCGCGTGGAGGAGCGTGTCCCTGCACGCGTTTGTGGCGCTGACTGTGCTATGGTGACATTTTGTTTTCGTCGATTTCTTTGTATTTTACCCGTGAGCGCGTGCTGTCGGCATCGGGTACTACAAAGGGTGGCATCACCTTAAATAGAAGGACATTGAGGCACCCTGCTAAAACCCACTCTGTACAGTTTTACTAACATGAATGAATGATCCATGGTATCAAATACTCGGGATAGGTCAAGAAACAGTGCGATAGCGATTTGATTATTGTCTAAAGCCTTATAAATGATATCCGAAATTTTTCCATCGGCAAAGCCGTGTTTTTTTTTTTCTTTTTTCAAAACCCTCATAATGATGACCTCATTTTTTACAGAATGAGGTCATCACTTTTGCTAAATACTTTTCCATGATGCGTGTCATGGCTGGATTATGGATATTGGTCTATAATTTGTTGGTTCCTTTTAGGATTTTAGGATCCTTTTTTCTTTTGTACTGGCCTTATGATAGACAATTTCATCCTGTCTGGAAAATTCTTTGTTTCTCCGAAGCTTTTTGCAATTACTTTGTCATTGTTTTGTTCAGCCTTTATACTTGATAACTGCCGTGTTAGCATATTCTTCGAGAATTTCTCTTGCACTGTTTTCTCAATGGCTATTTTGAATTTCGAGAGAATAAATAACATACCTTGAAAACTGAAGTGCGGGTATTCAGAAAATGCAGTTTGTTTGGGTAGCTCAAAAAACGGCCGGAGTACCCTCACAAATCGCCTTGTTGACGTATCGTGCTACGATCTACCACACTAGCGCCTCAAAGTGGTGGCAGCATCGTATCCATATTTCAAAGCACAAACTTACCTAAATAAAAAGTAAAAAAAAAGAAAAAAAAAGGGAAGAAAACAAAACATAACTGTTTTTTTTTTTTTTTTTTGTAAACTAGGCGCCTGTCGGATAACCACGCAACCTCTGACTGGCGCAGCAGCCAACAGATGGCGGCTGCGTAGCCTCGGCGGCTTACGGCAGCTCAGCACTGAGCAGCCGTCCAGTCGTGCCGAGAGCAGTCTACTTTTTCGAATCAAAAACGGCGTGCGCTTTTTCAGCGCTATAATAGACGTCAGTGCATGATTTATTTTTTGTTTCAAATAAAACAGAATAAATGAAAAAAGAAAGATTGTCTAATCGAGTAATTTCAGCTATATGTCTGTTTTTGGTGCGGCTGCTGAGCTGCTTTAAGCCATCGTAGCAAAGGCTCGCTAAGCTGCCACAGAGCCGTTTTTACTGAGAGAGCTAAGGAGATGTTCACAGTCTGGCAACCACAGGAGCGTAGTCTGACAACCGCAGGATGACTACGCCATCGTGTGTTATCGCGAAATCCGCTGATTCTAGCGGGCAACAAGCACCGTCCATGGCCAAACTTTATGCGGTAACGTTAAAGGCTTTACCCACATTCGGGCACGCAATGTTTTATTTACTTTTTTCACATTTTATTTAGGCCGTTTTAGAGGCCTCTTGCCGAAAGAGGAGCCATAGTTGCGTGATTGTGTTAAGGTATCTATTTTCGAACAGGACCCCACCAAGTTGTTTCCCGACACGTGGCAGCGCGAGCCGCCACCAAGCGTCGGCGAACTGGAGATGTCTGTGAGAAATCTCGTGACCAAAGCTGGAATGGTAATCGTTGCGTGCGACGTCAGCCCAAAGAAATACAGGTACCGGAACGACGAGGAAGTCCTTGGTAAGTCACTTTAGACTAATGGCTACCGTTCTATGCATGGGTTGCCATACTTGCGAGCGTTGGGTGTTGTTAGAGGTGAACAGGTTGGACTTTGTGCGTGTTTCGTTATTAGAAAGTAATCGTCGTAGTGATTTACTCTTTACACCAAACTGTTTTGAAAAAAAAAAAAAACTTCTGTGGTGCTTTCAAATAGCTCCCAGTGGCATTTAAATGAATTAGTTCTATCATATTACAGCGATAACGGTTTTAAAGGCGTGAACGCAAAAAAAGACGCTGGGAGAGCGGAGATCACCAATCACACGTTATCGGGTGGTGACAGAGGTCGAGGGGAGATAAAGTATCGTTATTCTTTTCCTGTCGATCTTCAGGGCGAAAGGTGCAGACACTCACTGCGTTGCGGATTCGGAGAAGCTTGTGAAGCAAGTTAAGATGGAAGCTTGGGCGAGTTGGTGTTGCTGAAGTAAGCCAACCGGCTAAATTTCGGCACATTGAATGACGTGTTTCTATGGACGTCACACTGCCTGTTTGAGGGGAAAGAGAAAGAAGGGGGAGGGGGCGTGAGGCTTAGGTAAACACGGCTCTTATTAACGCTATAGACCGACACGCGGAGCGGCTCTGTTTACCAACACGGCCGGAAGGCCGCGCATGCTATGGGGCAAAAGCAACCCGGCCCTCCGTGTTTTCGCCATTGCGTTGTGTGGAGTGCGCTCGTTGTTGACATTGTAGGGACGCTTCTAGCTTTATTTGTGAGTCGTATTTCCTGGCAACGTATGTCGTATGCTATGCCCGACTATTTGAGCTCGCTACCCGAGCCTGAACGGCGGCGGTATCGAAACAAACTGTGCGTAGACGGCGTTGCCTACGAGGATCCGTACGCCGTAAACAAGGCCTGCTGGACTTCCGACGTGAAGTTGCTGCCACCGAAGTCGACGGCTCACGTTGTCGTTTATTTAGTTTTTTCGCCAAGCCAGTTCACGGCCGACACGGAGCAGGCGTACAAGTCTCTCGAAGCCTACGATTACTTCGAGTCGGTTTCCACACTGCCGGCGGGATCAGCAGACTGTGGGTCTGCGGAAGTGTATTTATTAATCAAACAAATACACACAGCGTCTTCGAGTCAAGGTATGCTATTTTTCCTACTCTCATGACCACAAGGCATGACAAGCAGTAACGCTTTGTCCGTTCTGCAGTCTTGGCGGTAGCACGTTACAAGTAACGACGTTACCAGGAACACGTTACTTTTTTCAGTAACGTAGTAACCTACTCGTTACTTTTTCAACTCAGTAACGGGTAACGTACTTACGTTACCGTTTCAAGTAAAGTAGTCACGTTACTCGTTACTACAATTACACTTCAAGTTTTTCCGTGTTTTTAGGCGTCAAGCCATGTTTTTCTTTACGTTTTTTCTCGTCAGTATTTATGTGAAACCGTAAAAAGAGATAAAGTAATTATGTTCTGTTTCCGCATGAACATAATGTTTTTTTTATATGTGAGCTTATGCATATAACCTGTATCGTCAAAACCGTAAAACGTGTTAAATCATAATTTAAAAAGTAACGCAGAAGTAACGTGCGTTACTTTTGATCGGTAGCGGTAACGCCTTCGTTTTATTTTTAGGCAACGTAGCTCAGTAACGCGTACCTTTGATTTGCAAGTAACGAGTAACGTATTTCGTTACTTTTTTTGGTAACGCCTACAACACTGCCGTTCTGTCGCCGATCCCCTTCTGCTGGGTAGCACGGGCGTAGCGAGCCTCCGGCGAGCGCTTGGCCGGTGCTTTGTGCGCGAATACCGTGGGAACAAAATCCGGATGGTCTCTATCAGACGACGGTTTCCCTGTACATAAGCAAGCCTCGGGACAGAGATTGAAATGGAAGCCGCACTTGCCTCCGAGAAAGTGCTTGCCGCACAAACGCGCGAAGTGACCATAATTTTCGATCCACGGATATTATCCACCTTCTATGCCTTTCAGAGTCTGCCGGGAACTTGTAGAAGCTCACTCCGCTACTTGTACATTTCGGTGAGATTAACGGCAACACAGCTTCGCGGCATGCTGAAATACTATGACGCCCATGCGAAACGTGCGCCCTTTTGCCCACAGCCCTCGGCTCCGGCGCGATCGCAGCGCCGCCTCAGCGCCGGGACGTCAAGCCCGCGTGTCGGTCTATAGAGCATTAAGCCAGCTCCCAGCTTTGCTTCCCAGATGTGACTAAGCAAATCTAGGAGCCAGTTGAAGACTAGCGCTTGAATAATGTGTTGTTTACTTAAGCGTCATCCCCCCCCCCCCCCCTTTCCTCCTCTCTTCCCCGGTAAACCAGGCGATGTGACATCCTGAAAAACTCGTTAATCACAGTGCCAAAATTGGCCGTTCACTTACTCGACAAGCTTTTCCAAATACGCTATCGGGTTGCGAAGAGGTGTCACCTACACACCGGCGGTGATTTATAAACATATAGTATTAAAAGGTTTATACATTTCAAAAAAGGCCCGTGCGTCTACCTTCCCGCACGACACTCGGAGGGGCCATTACAGCAACTTACGGAGGCAGCTCGGCAAATGACGATGCCGAAACATACGTTTAGACCAAAAAAAAAAAAAAAAAAAAACAGAACAAAAAAAAAAAACGTAGTCCGAGTTGTGACATTAAGCCATGTAAGCATGACGTATTGCATTGCTTAAAGTCAGAGTGCGTTTTTTGGTCTAAACATATGCTTCGGCATCGGCATCCGCCGAGTTGCCTCCGTGAGTTGTGGTGATTGGCTGTCCGACTGTGTGTGTGCGTATGGGGGGGGGGGGGGGGGGGGTGCGGGAAAGTAGACGCACGGGCTTTTTTTTAGATTGTATTAGTTTACTGTTGAAATAAAAATGAAAAACGTATACAAATCTCCGTAACGCGAAATTAGAACGCAGCCCTTGAGGAGGGGAGGGTACGGAGGGGAGGGTATGCCCCTCCTCTACATCCGTACTCTCTCCTCCTCCTTTCCTCCTCGTCCTCCGTACACTTCCCTGCTCCTTCTGCGTACCCTCCCATTCTCCTCCTCCGTACCCTCCCCTCCTATTCCTCCATACCCTGCCCTCCTCCCACAGTTTCCCCGCTAAATTTAACTGAAAAATTGATGCCACGTGACCTCAACACCAATTAATTTTCCCCCCTAAACTTGGCGAGGAAAATGACGTCACATGGTTTGGTGTCACGTCACCTATGAATAAATTAAATTTTTCCGCTAGGTTTAGCGGGAAAATTGATGTCACATGACCTAAACACATATTCAATTCTTCGCTAAATTTAGCGGGGAAATTAAGTTTCTCCACTAGTTTTAGCGAACAAATTCAGTGTCTCCGCTAGATTTAGCGGGAAAATTGACGTCACATGACCTCAACACCAATTCAGTTCTCCAAATTTAGCGGGGTATTTTTCCATTAAATCTAGCGGAGAAACTGAACTTGTCTGCTAAATTTAGCGGGGAATTGAATTGGTGTTGAGGTAACGTGACGTCAATTTTTCCGCTAAATTTAGCGCGGTTACGTTGACGGCGAAGCCGACGCCGCAAAACTCGGAAACGGGCGCCGAAGAGCTGTGGTTTAAAAATGAAAGACGTTGACAAGTATCTAACGCAAAATTAGAGCGCAGCTCTTGAGGAGAAGGACAGGGTACGGATGGGAGGTTATACCTCTCCTCCTCCTTACCCTCTCCTCCTCCTCCCCTTCTCCTTTCCTTTTCTTTTCTCCTCCTCCTCTCCTCCTTTTCTCGCATCGGTATTGTATACAATATTCATTAAAAGTGCATGTCATTCATATTGCCTGTCATCCTGCAATGTCGTGAGCTAATTTAGCTAGCCATCAACAAGCTTTCGTACTGGGTCGATCAAAATCGGTTTTTATTTTTCTTTGGAAATAACAGCGTATGTGTGCTTTTTCTAGGAAACAGAATTTTTTCAGATTCTCTTATGACACTCATTAATGTTCCAGTTTTTGTCTTTTTTTTGATGCTAATTTGTTCTTGAGTGTCCTTGCTAAAAGCTTAAAATTAAAGTTCACAAAGAGCGTATAATCCTTAAGGTTTCGCCCCACCGGACATGGGCTTCCGACCGATCTTGCATCTTGCGTGTATGCCGCTTAGAAGTTCACTAACCCCTAGATTATGGCAGCATTGTTTACGGCTTCGCTAGGTCTTTTGTTCTAAAAAGGCTTGGTTCTTTTCGCCATCTTGGATTACGACTGGCAACAGGCGCTTCTCTCGCATCTCTTCTGCCAAGTATGTATCCAGAGGCCAGAAAGTTATCTCTCGAGAAGATAGTCGACTTACCTTCATGTATGCTATATGGGCTCGGTAGGTTTTTCCGCACCACGCGCGGACGGCTGTTGAACGTACAGATTTGGAGAGGGTCTTTAAAAACACACCCGACATTTTTCCTCTTCTCTCGATGAGAATGAAAGCTATTTCCGAATTCTTTGGACTCAGTCTGAATTCAGCTGCAGTCAAGTCTACCACTAAAATAGTACCTTGGGTGTCACCTGCCAAGTGAGACTCAAATAAAGCACAAAAAAACACAAAAAACAGCGATACTTTTGATGACGCATTTCAATATATTTTTTTGCACTGAAACGTAAGTATGGCGATTCTACAAAGCTTTAAACGGGCGGTACAAAACCTCAATTTTTGTTGGACGTTTTATGACTTGTCCAGCAGTTCAACGTGTAAGGCGAATCAATTAATTAGCTCCTATTTTTTACTGCGGAGCTGGACGGTCTCTTAACTACAGACCGGAATCATTCCCGATCACATTCTGTATATTGATTTCCTAAATGCTTTGGTTTCTTTCTTATTTCTAACACCTACCAGTAATCATAATGTTCTTGAAGTCATAAATGAGGTTGTTGCTGCCCTAGAAGCGCACGCGAGATATTTTGTTAGGCCTCTAATGATGTAGGCTTTCCAAACAACGAGACCTCAAATTGTGCAGCAAGTACAGGTATGTAACGAGCAGCTGAGCTGCGCA